GCCAAAATGCAAGGAGATATAACAAAGTAAACAAGACTCAAGAAACAGAGGACTTCCACTCACTTTGTCATCATTGCTAAATGACTCCATGTTCTTGGCCACATATATGGTATATATATATGCACACACATCTGAGGGAAGCTAGGAGGAGGACACAGACTCAAAGGAAAATGGGAAAACATACAACAGGGGGGCCCATCAGCTGCATTTGACATTGATGCAAAGGAACTAAGCAACTCAAAGGCAGCAATGGGAGGGAGGGAATGAGAGGGTAAGAGGGAACAGCTTACACTAAGCAAAAAGAAAGAAATGTAAATGTCACCTGATGTGGAAGAAATAGTTAAGGCTCATAGAATTCACAAACTTTATAGACCATGATAATGACAATTTGCCTTGTAAAGGTTAAAATGTGTTTGTGACTTTAAGTATCACTATTCCACAATACTGTGAAATTTATGTAATCACCTAATCTCAATTTAAGGTCATATAGATATATATATTTTTGTCAGTCTTGGGGCTTGAACTCTGAGCTTGGGTGGTGTCCCTGTGCTCTTCAGCTCAAAGTGAGCGCTCTACCGCTTGAGCCACAGCACCACTTCCTAAGGGGAAACAAAGGAGGAGGCTACTATGCTTGATAAGAAATGTACTCATTATCTTGCCCATGTAATTGTAACTCCTCTGTACAGTATTTTCACAATAAAAAAATAAATTAAGAAAAAAAAAGTGAGAGAAGGGATGGGTTAGGAGCAATGGGTGACAATGTTGTCAGACACCTTGAATTCATATATTTTTGTAGAATGGGAACTTCTTTGTAAAACTACTTAGATATAATAATTTTTAAAATGTTTAAAAAATTTGCCCAAAAGGTGGGTAAGAGTTTACATATGAAAACTTTTACAGTACAGCAACATAATTTGTAATGTAAAAATTACAATAAATTTATCAAATTGCAGATATAGTGCAGAACACTTTCCCAGCATGTACAGATCTGGGATTAACACACACACAAATGGTCTTTCCATTACCTGTCAGTACATTGTTTTTTGTTGTTTTTGTCGGTCGTGGGGCTTAAACTCTGGGCCTGGGTGCTGCCCCGCAGTTCTTCAGCTCAAGGCTAAGGCTCTACCACTCAAGCCACAGCGCCACTTCTGGTTTTCTGAGCGGTTTATTGGAGATGGGTCTCATGGCCTTTCCTGTCCAGGCTGGCTTTGAACCGCAATCCTCAGATCTCAGCCTCCTGAGTAGCTAGGATTACATGCTTGAGCCACTGGCGCCCCGCTATATTATTTTGTACTTGTCTGCCTCTCTGATAAAATGAACGTAAGCTGGGGCTGGGAAGTTGGCTCAGTGGTATAGCGCTTGCCTGGCATGCCTGAGGCCCTGGGTTCGATTCCTCAGCACCACATAAGCAAAAAGAAAAAAGCCGGAAGTGGCGCTGTGGTTCAAGTGGTAGGGCACTAGCCTTGAGCTGAAGAGCTGAGGGACAGTGCTCAGGCCCAGCGTTCAGGCCCCACAACCGGACCAAAAAAAAAAAAAAATGAACTTAAGCTCCAACCAGAATGTAGAAATTGGCATTTTGTTTTTCTCCCCACCTGTCTTTGTGCTTGAACTCAGGGTCTGGGCACTGTCCCTGAGCTTCTTTTTGCTCAAGGCTAGCACACTACCACCTGAACGATAGCACCACTTCCAGCTTTTTTCTGTTTATGTGTACTGAGAAACTGAACCCAGGGCTTCATGCATGCTAGGCAAGCACTCTACCTCTATGCTACATTCCCATCGCTCAATTGGTTTTCATAAGGTTTTGTAAGTAGTCTGAAGAAATTCTCAGATAGTGCTTCCTGGGAAGAGACAGGAAGGGAAAAAGAAGAGCAAGACAAGAGGTAATAGTGACTAAACAGGACCAAGTCTTGGAAATGGGTATATAAGATATTCCTCAAATGAAATGTTGAGCATTGTGCAATATAAACCATCCCTTCCTGCCTCCCTTAGGAAATAATAACAATACTGACTTGCCACTAATGTCTAGGCCCCAGGGTGGGGAGAGATGTTCCTACTGAAAGTGAGCAGAAGAAATGCCAAGAGCTGCTTTTGAGGATCGGGCAAGGTATAGATGGAGGCTGCCATGGGCCAGCCATCAGGGCCAACACATACTTACCCTGAGATGCGTATTTTTCATGGTAAATGTCATAAGCTTTTCTGTGAGCATCAGTGATGGACTGAAGACGGGAAGCTCTTGATTCCTGGTGGGGAAGAGCCATGATCACTTCCTTCAAGTCACTAAAGGTGAACCAGATCCCAACGAGGTCCCCAAAGGAGTGGAAAGCAAATGAGACATAGTCAGCAAAGAGGTCAGCAAACACAACTCCCTTGACAAAGTTGGTAGGTAGGGTCTGGTGATGCAGGACGACCATAGGCTGAAGCTGTGCAGCTGTGAGGGCCTCGAGGAGTTGCCGGTAGCACTGCACTGTTTCCTTGTCTGGATTTTTGGAGCTTCCTGATGGGAGAAGTTGTGCCCATGAGAGGAATAATTTATAATGCGTGATCTTACTGGCATGAAGACTGCTAAACAACTCTGGCAGGAAAGAGGGCAAAGGCTGCTGACAAACATAAATGTCACTGCTGCCAGCTACCAAATGAGAACCCTGGTTTCCCAGAGGGTGGCTCAGGTTGTACAGGAAGGCATTGGTTAGAGGACCAGCAGCTGAAATGAAATTTCTATCAAGAGCTTCCCACTCTGCCCCCTGACATGGAAAACTTAGGAGGACAATGAAGACCATTTTCCCAGACAGCTCCATTTTCAGAGAGCTGTTAGGAAGTACATAGGAGGAATCCTTTTATAACTACACCTCAGATAAGTTACTAAGTGATTACCAATACAATGTTTAACTTAGTTATCTATGATAATGAAATCACATGGCTCACCCCTGCAATATTTAAAATTTTAGACCTTAACATACAACACGAACAACTTTTCCATCTAAGCAGAAGAAACAGAATGTCTGAAGACATTTTTCTTGGATGGGTTACAGAAAAGTAGATTACTCAACATTTTTCTTCGACTCCTCTAAAAATTCACTCATTCATTAAAAAAAAAAAATCCTTCAAATTCTCCTTTTGTCTACTTCCCTTCCCTGCAAGCTAGGACAGAAATTTTTCACCAATGTGCATTTTCCCTCAGTTTCATGGTTCTTGTCTAGATGATCGCATGTGGAAAAGTAGCTTCTTTTGTGCCTATCTCCTCACCATCCCTATTGTAGATTAAATAGATGTTAACATGTTATATAAGGCTACAAGATAAACAATAGACAAATGCAAAAATAAGAGTTAACACAAAAATATGCAACAAGAGCCGGGCGCTGGTGGCTCACACCTGTAATCCTAGCTACTCAGGAGGCTGATATCTGATGATCGCGGTTCAAAGCCAGCCCGGGCATGAGAGACCGTGAGACTCCTATCTCCAATAAACCACCAGAAAACCGGAAGTGGCGCTGTAGCTCAAGTGGTAGAGCGCTAGCCTTGAGCTGAAGAGCTGAGGGACAGCGCCCAGGCCCAGAGTTCAAGCCCCATGACTGACCAAAAAAAAAAAATTATGCAACAAGTTGGGACTGGGAAGGTGGCTCAGTGGTAGAGTGCTTGCCTTGCATGCCTGAGGCCCTGGGTTCCATTCCTCAGCACCACATAAGCAAAAAGAAAAAAACCGGAAGTGGCGCTGTGGCTTAAGTGGTAGATGGCTAGCCTTGAGCTGAAGAGCTGAGGGACAGCGCCCAGGCCGAGTTCAGGCCTCACAACCGGACCCCCCCCCCAAAAAAAAGCAACAAGTTTACATGGGATTATGCCATAGTCCTGCAGTTGTTTCTTTCCCCCTCATTAATGGCTCTTGAGTGAGCATTTTACTCACCTTTTTGTGCCAGTCCTGAGGCTTGAACAGAGCCCAGGCGCTTTCCCTCAAGTATTTTTTGCCCTAGGCTAGTACTCTACTATTTGAGTTATGGCTCCACTTCTAGCTTTGGCAATTTATTGGAGGTAATATCTTAGTCCCCTAAGTAGCCAGGATTACAGATGTAAGCCATTAGTGTCCAGCTGACTTAGCTCTTTTTAAAAGATACAACAAAGATGTAACTCTTTGGAACAAAGCCACAAAATTTGAAGACAGCTTATATACATATATATAGCTGCATGTGAAATAATCATAGGGCTAGGTGTGGTGATAACATGCCCCAGGCTGAGGCAGGTTTGGAGTTTGAGGTCAACCCGGCTAACATTGGCAAAATCCTAGGAACAAAAGGAGGGAGGGAGAGAGGAAAGGTTGAAGGAAAGAATGACCCATAGAAAAGTAACACGAGCTGGCTCATGCCTGTAATCCTAGCTACTCAGGAGGCTGAGATCTGAGGACCACGGTTCAAAGCCAGGCTGGGCAGGAAAGTCCAGGAGACTCTTAGCTCCATTAAACCACTCAGAAAACTGCAAGTGGCACTGTGGCTCAAGTGGTAGAATAGCCTTGAGCTGAGGCACAGTGCCCAGGCCCAGAGTTCAAGCCTCACACCAACAAAATAAATAAAAGTACAATAAACTGTATTTTTTGTGTGTATGTGCTAGTTCTGGGGTTTGAACTCAGAGCCTGGGCCTTTGAGCTTTTCTACTCAAGGCTAGCACTCTACCACTTGAGCAACATCTCTGCTTCTTGCTTGATAAGTCTCAGGGACTATCCTGCTTGGGCTGGCTTTGAACCTCGATCCTCAGATTTCAACCTCCTGAGTAGCTAGGATTACAGGCATGATCAACTGGTGTCCAGTAAACCTTGTATTTTTAGAAACTATAATAAGATACTAAAATCAATCTTGGAATTTCCAAGGTTTTCTCTAATTCTAGGTTTTCTAATTCTATTAAAAGCCCTTCTGTAAATTCTAAATCCATGTTGTATCTCTCAGATTAAGTAAAAAGGGATTCACATTCACAAGTACATGAATAATAAGAGTGCAGAAATAAATCCAATATACAACTTCAGGTCAAATTATTTTATTTAATGAATAAAAGCAGTAGTTAGCAACTGAAGAAAGCTTAACTTCTTGATTGGTAAGATACTGAATACCATAGAAGTAACAGGCTTTTTCCTACATGTGAAAACAAAGCAAAGGTCTTACAGAAACCACATTATTACTGAGTTCCAACTTTATTGGGACAAGAAACACACTAAAGCTGGTGCTGGTATAAAAGCATATTATAGGAATGTGATAGATAGGACTCCACTGTTATTCTTAGGACAAATTCCAAAGCATCACTTTACTTCTTAGCAGAGCTCCATACAGGTTCCAGGCCAGAAAGAGCTGTGCCAAAGCTCCTTGGCTCTTGTCAGTTACTTTTAGTATTTCAGTCTTCAAGCAAGTAGTTAGGGTTAACTACCAAATAGGGATCTTCATAGCTCTCACTTCCTTCTATAGCACCTTTCAATCCAGCTTGTGTGAGTTCAATAAGAACATGATCCTGTGGAACAGAAGCATTTGGCCTCACTCTCCAACAATATTACAAAAATGTCTAGATACACCAAACACTGATCCTTCTACGCACTATTTTATTTCCCCACTGAAAATCTAAAGACTATGTCTTTAGATTTAGAGCGCTTGCCTTGCACGCCTGAGACCCTGGGTTTGATTCCTCAGCACCACATAAGCAAAAAGAAAAAAGCCGCAAGTGGCGCTGTGGCTCAAGTGGTAGAGCGTTAGCCTTGAGCTGAAGAGCTGAGGGACAGCACCCAGGCCCAGAGTGCAGGCCCCAAGACCAGACACCCCCCCCCCTTAAAAAAAATAAACACTATGAAGAGGCATAAAGCAGAATAGCAAAAGCTGCAGGCTGCTATCTGTTAACATGCCAGGCAAGCAAGACTTGTAGAGATAACGTTTAAACAGATACCAGAATGGAGAAAGATATATGAGGCGAGATAAATGGCAAGTGCAAAGTCCTCCATGTTTGGTGTGTAGCAAAAGGCTGAGTAAAGGGAAATTAAGAATATGAGGAAGATGAAACATAGAAAGGAAGTGAAATTGGGAGGATGCATGCCCAGGGGTTCACTATATGCATCTGGCTAATCAGGATGAAAAGTAAATGGTTAAAAGTATCCAATCAGGGATGACACTATCCAAAAAGAAATGAACTCTTTAGTACTGTAACTTTAAACATCTTTATAATAATAATAAACACAAGAAAAAAAACGCCTGAACAGGGACAGGATACTGCACAACGTGAAAGTGCTTGATTAGTATGAGTTTGATCCTGGACTTGATCTCTACGACTGCCAATTTTTAAAAAAGTCCTATAGCTGGGCGCTGGCTCACGCCTATAATCCTAGCTAGTCGAGGCTGAGATCTGAGGATCACAAATTCAAAGCCAGCCTGGGCAGCCAGTCTGTGAAACTCTTTTGTGGTCATGGGGCTTGAAATCTGTCCCTCAGCTCTTCAGCTCAAGGCGAACACTTTACCACTTGAGCCACAGTATCACCTCTGGTTTTCTAGTAGTTTATTGAAGATAAGAGTCTCACAGGGCTGGGAAGGTGGCTCAGTGGTAGAGCGCTTGAGGCCCTGGGTTCGATTCCTCAGCACCATATAAGCAGAAAAAAAAAGCCGGAAGTGGTGTTGTGGCTCAAGTAGTAGAGTGCTAGCCTTGAGCTGAAGAGCTGAGGGACAGCGCCTAGGCGCAGAGTTCAGGCCCCACGACTGGACCAAAAAACAAAAAAAAAAGTCTCACAGACTTTCCTGCCCGGGCTGGCTTTGAACCATAATCCTCAAGATCTCAGCCTCCTGAGTAGCTAGGATTACAGGCATGAGCTACCTGCACCAGGCTCCATGAGACTCTCATCTCCAATTAACCACTAGAAAACTAGAAGTGGCTTAAGTGGTAGAACACTAGCCTTGAGCTGAAGAGCTCAGGGAACAGTGCCCAGGTCCAGAGTTCAAGACCCACAACAACAACAAAAAAGGCCTACATGAAAAGATTCCAAAGTCACCTTCCCAGATTTCACCTAAATTCTACTTATTTTATAAAGAAAATAATTATTTTATTTATTTATTTTTTGGGTCCGGTCGTGGGGCCTGAACTCTGGGCCTGGGCACTGTCCTTCAGCTCTTCAGCTCAAGGCTGGTGCTCTACCAGTTGAGCCACAGCACCACTTCTGGCTTTTTTCTTATATGATGCTGAGGAATGGAACCTAGGGCCTCATGCATGCAAGGCAAGTGCTCTACCACTGAGCCAACTTTCCAGCCCAGGAAATAATTCTTAACACTCAGTCCTGACTATACCCCCAAAAATCTGTAAGACACAAACTCTTTCCCTCATAAACACTAGAAAGCAAGTGTAATATGTACATACATAGTGTGTGAGTCGATGAATGACTTTCTCTATGATTCTCTTTTTATTTATAAGTTCTTCTTCAGAGTCTATTTCTGATTCCATTTCCTTTAAGTACCAGTTAACAAGCTCACTCCTCTTCAATGCTGACTCATCTTCTTCTGCAACAAAAAACATATTTTAAAAAGATTACTTTCCAGTAAACTGTATTGCTCATCCTTGGAGTTTGCATACATAGGAAGATAATATACAGATTAGATAACCATCAACCTGTCAGACAGCACATCTGCTCATATAAGGTTTACAATGTTCCAGCACAGGCCTGAAATAACCTGTTACATTACTTAAAAATACACTTTATCCAGAAGAGGGGGGAAAAAACCAAGCACCAAAAAAATATGATTGTAAAAAAAAAGTTCTTGAAGCTAGTAAGACTTCACAAAGTATGAAGGACTTCATATATCTTAGCACCTATAGAGAATGTTTGACAACAACTGAAGGCTTAAGTTAGGAAGCAACAGAAAGCAAAACTACTTTTTTTTTGCGGGGGGGGGG